TCATTTTACAGGCTAGGGCAGGAGGTACTGAGGATTGAAGCTTGGGGCCCACCCACTCTTATAATCACGCAGAATGTTAGTCACTTGTGGAGTAGTGACTAACATCTGTAAAAGTAGGAAAATTATCACTTGTTTTGGGTAATTGTTTAAACAATATACAATTATTTTCGAAATAAAATAAACTTCAATTTTGGATATATCAGTCTTTATTCTTTCATTAACATACAATTTCTAATATAACTGTCTACGCCATAGGTCTTGAGCTATCAACGGTTACGTAAGAAGTTACACAAGTGTTACGCTGAGTGTTACGTTACACTTTTTACTAACGGCTTCATTCCATTTGCACCCTCGTATAATAATATTTTCAAAGTTAAATAACAGGATGGTTGATAATGTACGAAAACACAATAATTGTAGTAAACTTTCGTGTTTTCCACTCATGTCTGGATATTACTAAAGAAAATGAGTGTGGAAACCATAAAACCTTTAAAATAGATAGGTAAAACATATATATGTCTTAACCGCCAAAAAGAGACTTGAATTAATGTCTGCTGTTACGTGGGCTGTTGGTATGTGCAAACAGACATTTACACTGTCTGCAAGAAAAAAAGCACAGTCAACTATTCCCAGATAGAAACAAGGCCATGATGTCGCAGAGACTGCTGACATTAATGGGAACTGTCGAAATGTGTTTACATGATTGTTCATGTAAATTTGCAAGCCTGATAATTAGTAAATATTTATACAAGGAATAGCTTCACCAGAGAAAAAATGAAGGTGTTAGAGATGGTGACTTATTTTAAAGTATCATACCAGCATACGTCTTTTAAAACTCTACTTTAAAGTAGGCTACAACCACTTACTATTCTGTTATTTCTATTTAATCTGACAAGGGAATCATACATATACCATGTTAAGTTGCATATGCTGTCATTACAGAACAGTTAAATAATATAGCAGTGACCTCTATTCATAATCCGGAAATGAGCGAACGAGTGATGCATCAATGCAAAAAGATGCTGAAATATTTCACCAACCTATTGCATTGATGTATCACTCGTAAACTCATTTCTGTCTCTAATGCAACACAGTTCTGTTCACAGTCTCTCCTTTATTTTAAATGCCATTAAATCACTTTTAATTTCAACATGTTTCAGCCTTTCAATGCCATCCTCAGGAAATTGTTCACCAGTTCAAATTGCCACACTGCATTGATTCGTATGTCAATGCAACCCATGCCACTCCATAACGTCGTTCGTATTAAAATGTGTTTGTTCGAGAAAGAACACACTCTTCGCTAGGCGTTATTTTCGTTTTGTGGCGCCCATTTTCTGTAATGTATAATGTATGTTTATTATTAATGCAAAGGTGTATCATAATGTTATGAATTTGTTATTATTGTATGTCTTGTATGTTATGTTATTATGTACTTACGTGTCCCATTCGCATGTAGTTCCAACTAGGAGGCCACGTGTCCCTTGTATTGATCATTCATTATCAAAGAAACTTTATGGGATGCATTGACATACGAATCAGTGCAGTGTGGCAGTTTCAACTGGTGAACAATCCCTGAAGGGGGCCTTGAAAAGCTGAAACATTTTGAAATTAAAAGCGATTTTAATGACATTTTAAAACAAAGGCGAGATTGTGAACGGTCTTGATTTGCATTAGAGAAGGAAATGAGTGAACGAGTATTATAACAGTGAATCTACAACCTTAGGAAGTGCTGGGTGGACCTTAAAGGAAAACTGGCATACATCTCGGTAGACAGTTAGGGCTCTTAGAATGAAAACGAAAAATAATTGATGGACAATGTCCTTATAAGTTTCATTTTAACATAAAATACGAAAGGGAAGGCTGGTATTAATTTTGCGTGAAATGGTTCAAGTATACTTTACTTTAAATTGGGTATTCTTTAGGAAATGCATCTATTGTTGCATTTAGATATTTCAAGAAAGAAACAGGAGAAGTACGGTCTAATTTGGGACAGCCTATAGGACAATACACTCAAGTGCCAAAAGTCATGGGATAGCAGTATGTAAATTTATTTTTAAGTGGCGCCACCGTCCCTTGACGGCTTGGGAATGCCCAAGTATTAGTTGTGAGGTGTTTTCTCGTGAGTCAGGTTGAACACCGGCCAGTCTGCTCATGGCAAGCCGACGTGAATTATCGGAGTTCTTCGGTTTCCCCTGCCTATCTTCATTCCACCCATTGCTTCACATTCCACCAATTGCTCCACAATCACCCTCACCTATCATCTGGGGCTGGTACAATAGGCCAGAAGTGGCCGCAGTACAAGGGACTTAGTCCCACCCCACTAGCAATAAAAAAACATTTTTATATATCACCAAACGAAATAAAACTGGATATGATTTACGAAGTCTTTTCAGTGCAAACACGACTGCAGAAACCTTTAAAATTATCAAAGTAATGTGGTTTATCCGGAATTGTGAATTCAGCAGAATGGGAGACGAAAGGCCCTGCTTCAGGGTTCTGGCCAGTAATTCCGCTGAAATTTCTAAGGAAACCCACAACAGCTAGTCCTCTGGATGTGATTTGAATTGTATACCTACTGAACAGAAAGCAGACACGAATCCGATTTGGTGACTCTGTCTTTTTTTATTCCTATATTCACTAAAGTTTTACAAAAATATTCGATTCGTACAAAAATAAACACTTTATTTACATACTTTTCAGCAACTTAGCAATATACTATAATCCTGAGAGTTTTCCATCAGTTTTTCATGGCAGCTGTTTCCGAAGTGTTTGTCACTTGGTACTACACAATAAGTTTCTGCAGTTAAGTTCAATAATGTGTTTCACCATGTTAGAAGTATGAAATATTAAAAAGTAAAGACCTATTTCCCTTCACCATTTTACGACAAATTACTCGTTAGTATAGCGCGATATAACTAAAAGAATATTGGCAGATTTTAAAACCCGAATCTTAATGGATTTATTGGACAGAGACAGAAGTCTCAACGTGATATTATCTATACGCAATATGCATATATAAACGAAACTGTCATATTGTATTTAGATTATTACAGGCCAGTCCTGTAAGACCATTTCTTCATATTCGAGAATCTTAGGCACTAATATTCTGTAGAGAAGCGCGATATAATGACGGTTCACTGAAATTTGAACTCTGAAAATTTAGTAGTGGCCATCTAGACAGAAGGACCGAATTCGATGCCTAAGATCGTCATTCTTTCAATATCCCGGAGACCATATTATTACCTGGAACAAAATGAGATGAAGCAGATGAGAACACATTTATTTTTTCACTCTGCAATGCAAGTGAACTGACTTAACAGCCACAGGCATTTTTACTATAAAATAATGCATTATTCAGGTAGGTAACTCAGCCTGCTTATAGTTAATGTAGGTGAAGTTTCTTACTAATTATAAAACTAAGTAATTAAGAACTATTCGGTAGGAGAACACAAGGTACACACCGTACATACCAAAGCCAGGAACTTGACTTGATCTTAAGCCAGTTCAATTCAATCGTGAAACAAACACCTTCACTCAGAGGATTATGTTGAAACATAAGGCCAAAAAGCCTTAGGGAAATGCCAGTGTACGCTGTAATTCAGCAACCCGAGTTACAGAGTTGAAGTTACGGATCGAATTTGCCAACTTCCCTTACTTAAAATTACGTCTCTTGGGTCAATACTTTATGGAACCAAGCGACTATTTCGACGCCCCCACGTACAAAATCCTACGCTCCATTCGAAGCGCAGGATTCCTGAGGGGATAATCAAGACAGGAAGCACAGTAACCACTGTAGGTCGCGGTGCAAGGGCCGAGAAGGCCCACCCCTTATACATTCATTCATTCATACGGAGATGAAGCCATTGTTGGTAGTGTGAAGGAAATAGCACTAATTTTAAATAAAAGTCAATTTTAAGCTCCTTTTCTTTTATTAAGAGAAACAAGGTAAAACAAAGAGATTGTTAGACTTGAAAGGATTCTGACGATGGTGTGTACTGTACTTCTTTTGTCTTGTTTTGGACTTCATTCATCGTCTGGTATGTAAAAGACAAAAGACCACGATGTTCATAGGTTGTTTTCTACAGACCGGGGTTTTTCCAGTGATTGAGACTAGCTCTTTCTAACGGCCCCCAACTGAGTAGGTTTATTCTCCCCTACCCACCTGAAGATGGAGACAGATCCAGTCTCCGAAACGTCGTGGTCTTATGTCTTTTACATACCAGACGAGGGATGAAGTCCAAAACAAGCCAAAAGAAGTAAAGAGATTGTTGTTCTGTCTCTCTGAACCCCCTACCTTAAAATTTGTACCAGTTGACGGTTATCACAAAAAAAATTATGCCGCTGAGGGTCATCCAAACCTCGAACCTTTTAAATCCCTGATATCGGCAATTATAACATGGCGGACGGAGGAAAAAATACTATGACGAGGGACGGACGTTGAAACCACTGGGAACTATGAAATTATGTACGATAATAGGCCTTCTAAAAATATGAAACTTCTGTTAATTATTTCTTCTGCAGAATGTAAAACAACAAAATGGCTACTCTACGAAATTGATATTTATATTCGATTTGATGGAATAACTAATAAAAAGTGCAGAACTTTGCATGAAGCTAGTTCGAGACCATATCTAAGAATTATGAATGAAATGTTGTTTGTAAGTCAGCAAACGTAAACATGCCAATGGCGTGAGAAATTTATTCATCAGATTTAACTTAGATAGAATCATGTATATTTAGACCTGTAAAAGAGATAGCTTACAAGACCTTTCCTACTCTGCTGTAAAGAAAATACTGCAGAATTTTGCGAAATAGAGAATGATAAAATGACATGGATTTCTAGAAAATTTTATTTCACAGTACTGCTACTCTTTTCCTACCGAATCAGTCATATTTCGTAACTGAGCTGTTATTTTCTAAGTTATCTTAGTTAAGAATGACCGTCCTGTGTAAATAAGTACCTACACAATTGAATGCATCATCCTGCATTATCGAACCAGTTAGAAATACAATAGTATATCACAGATCCACAATTGTTTCTCTCCTCTGTGCTTTATGCTTGATATCATACTTTGTACATTTGTCAGCAAAATAGTGTTGTGTCTCAAGTGAATTCTTTGAGCAACATCCTTTGAGAGCACAAGAAACACAAGAGCTACAAACCGCGTCACGTGGTATGGACTCCGCGCGTCAGCATTGCCTTCAGCACCACGTTCTTTGGAAAGAAACTCACTCAGGCAACTTCTGGCGAAGGAGGACCGTATGCATGTACAGGGAGTGGCGGGGGAGGTGGAGGTGGTCCTTTGGCTGGTGTTGGTGGTTGAGGTGGAGGAGGTGCTGAAGGTAGCGGCGGTGCCCTTGGTAGACCATACACTATTTTTGGCGGCGATGGCGGAGGCGGTGGAGGTGAAGGGGGAGGAGGCTGTAATGGGGGTGGAGGCTGTAGTGGGGGTGGAGGTGTTGCTGGAGATGGAGGGAGTGGAGGCGACGGTGGAGGGGGTAGTGAAGATGGGGGTGGAGGAGGTGGTGAGGTTGGGGGTGGAGGTGGGGGTGCTGGTGGAACATAAACTAGTACTGCAGATGGAGGTGGCAATAGAGGTGCTGGTGGACCATAAACTAGTGCTGGAGGTGGTGGGGCTGGAGGCGACGGTGTAGGAAGTGGGGGTGCTGGTGAACCATGAATTGGTGCTGGAGGTGGAGGAGGTGGCGGTGGAGGTGCTGGTGGACCATAAACTGGTACTGGAGGTGGAGGTGGTGGCGGTGGCGCTGGGGGTGCTGGTGGGCCATAAACTGGTGCTGGAGGTGGAGGTGGTGG